ATTCATTTACTTGGGCAGTGCTTGGTGGGTAGGTCCCATAGGGAATGACTGGCAAGGACCAGTTTATTTTGATGGAGAAACCCCCAAATGCCAATAGCTATAAGTCCTTTTACTTTTCTGTGAGTTCCCACCACTCATCCCATGAATCCTATAATCTCCTGCCTAGGGAATATGATTCTGCCTGGCAGCATTTTGGAAGCTCAGCCTACAAAGGCAGCTGGAAGTTTTCATTGTTCAGTATGCAAACTTTTAATTACTTTCCCTGTGTTTAATAAGGTTCATTCATTCATGCATGCATTTGACAAATAATTACCAGGTGGCCATTGCCAGGCATCTTTAGACACTAGAGATACATCAGTAACCAAAAATGGACTAAACTCTTTAGCTTTTGGAGCCAATACTCAGCTATGATAGGTGTTCTTGAATCCAGTGTCCCCATCCAGAAAATGTACCTCCCGTTTTCCACTAGGTATGGGGAGGGGCAGTTTCTTGATTGAGCTGGTGAGAGAGAAATTCTGGGGTGATAACTACTTTCTTACATGCACTTTCAACAGCATTGCTAAATCTGGTAATGTTAACTTTCAACCAATCCTTATCTCTCAGTCCTCCTCCTCCAAGCCCACTCCACTCTCTTCACCTTGTCCTCCAGAGGGACCAGGTGCTGGCACCTTACATTTTAAAGCTTTCTTGGGTACAGTAACATGCAAGAGCTTTCTTCTTTTTCACTCAGTCCTGATTAAGTCAGTTAAGACTCATGCATCCTCATTCAGCCTTCCAAATGTGATTTTTCTCCCTCTTTCACTTTGTCCCTGCAAGTTTGTGTGTTTCTTTAATTTTAATTTTAGAAAGCAGATAGAAATGACTCTATTTAATGGGCCATGTTTAACAAGACAACCTGAGTGCCATCACCAGCATAATCTCCTTAAACCCCACTTCAGATTTTGAATATCATATTGGTTGAGCACCCAGTCTGTGCACATAATGTTTGGCTGGATAATGTTTGTTGTGTCTATACCTGGGATTCCTGGGAAAAAAATCAGTCCCTTGCAAACCAACACCCACTCAACACAAACACACTCAGTAAGCATTGGGTTCAACTTTTCTATCTTAGCTATATATGTAGTTAGGGAAATAGGGGAAATACAGAGGCCCGTGGTTCTGGAGTCCTACTGCCATCCAGCAGTTGATGAGAAGAGAGATCTCACACATTCATCTGGTTTTTCACCTGTCTCTATCTACTCAGGTCTAGAGTGAACTGTCAGGGCTCATTCCAACACTTTGATCATACTTCACTGAAATAACTGGGACACTTTGACTTTGAGAACACCACTGTCTGGAATTACTGCTAGTGAGGAGAAGCCATAGAGAACAGATTAAAGGTTAAGAATTAAGATTATGATTTAATTAAGATTAGATTAAAATATAGTCTTAATTAGACTTAGGGTTAAATAAAGAATTTAAAAATTAAGAATAAATTATTAGTCTTAATTAAGAATTAAGATTAATACATGGCCTTTAGGGACCTTACTTTAAATTTTGCTCTAAAATACCATTTACTTATTAATAAATGATTGGGAAGAAGAAATCATTAACCCTTTCTCATTGGGTTGCCTTGATAACTAAATGAGCTTATGTATGGAAAGGGCTTAGTATAAGGCCTGGGATACAGTACTAAATGTAATCTAACGGAAAAGTCAAGTTCCCTGCCTCTTCGGTTTGTCCCATGTGGTTATTAATTCAAGTTAGAATCAGGCAAGAACTATTTTATTCCAGGGAATTGGTATCTTTGAGGCTCCTGATCTTCTCTGGAGGAAACTCATGGCCCCTTTCCCTACAAAGATTTGCTCCTTATAACCTAGTTCAGATCTCTCAGAATGACACATAGCAGGTTTACATCATTTATGACAGTTGGGGTTAGAAAACTATTTCAACATGCTAAGTAAGAGCTCATAAGACCCTGAACCAAAGCTAGAGCTGAAGGGAAGGTGTAATTGATACCTGCTCAGCAATCTACATGTTTCCCTTTGTTTCCTAGCCACCCTTGAAGTTAGGTTGGGGCTATGTGGCTAATGTGGATGCCCTGGACGACCTCACCCTGCCGAACTCCACGGAGTCAGGGAGCAGGTCCTCCCCTGGGTAGTGGTGGGAGGAGAGGCCGGGCCTACATGCCTCTGAGGAGCCGCAGCCGGGACGACCTCTACGACCAAGACGACTCGAGGGACTTCCCACGCTCCCGGGAGCGCCCCTCTGCCGATCCCAGGTCCCACTACCACCGGACCCGAGACCCTCGGGACAACGGCTCCAGGTCTGGGGACCCCCCCTATGATGGGCGGCTACTGGAGGAGGCCGTGAGGAAGAAGGGGCCGGGGAGAGGAGGAGACCCTACAAGGAGGAGGAGGAGGAGGCCTACTACCCGCCCGCACCACCCCCGTACTCCGAGACCGACTCGCAGGCGTCCCGCGAGCGCAGGCTCAAGAAGAACTTGGCCCTGAGTGGGAAAGTTTAGTCGTCTGATCTGACGTTTTCTACGTAGCTTTTGTACTTTATTTTTTAATTTGAAGGAATACTGATGAAGCCCTACCATGCCCCGCCTGAGTCTAATAAAACGTATAAAACACACACACACACACACACACACACACACACACACACACACACGAGGACTGGGACCAAAAGTGATTGCTTCCAAGTGAATCAGTAAAACCCAGTGTGCCTCCTTCTCCCTTTCATGGTGATATCAGAATTTATGTTTTCCCAATAATTTACTACAAGATGGTGAATGGAGAAAATACATTTTGGATACCTGAGTGACGTCTGGAACAAGCCTCCACTCTACCCGACCCCAACCAGCCCACATTCAACTTGTAACATAAGAGAGAACTAAACATTTGCTATATTAAACCACTGAGGTCTAAGTATAATTTATTACTACACTATCTCTAAGGAGGTAGATTAATTTGAAAGAACTTGTGAAGTTAAAATTAAAAGATATTTCAGTGTTTGTTAATGACAGACTAGTTAATTCAGACCAACCTTCCTAGGAAGGTTGAACCAAAAAAAGCTGAACTAGGAAAACTGAACCAAAAAAAAAAAATTACTTTTTAAAATTCTGCTCAAAAGCATTGGAAAGCCAACATGGTAGTGAAAAATTTCCAGGCTACCATTTTTCATCGGAGAGAAGATGAAAATTCAGAGAAGTGAGTCTGAGATTTGAGGCCACTTTTCTGCTGGGAGCATTTGTTAATTCTGACAAAGCCAGTGTTTGATGGCTGAGCAGTGTTTTTGATGGCCTGCTATGGGGACAAAAGTTGGACACCGGTAAAAACATTGTAGTGTGGGTTGGGACCCTGAAGTGCTATGCTCTAGCAGTAAGGGTGAACAGGAAGTAAAAGAGCCTTCACACATCCTGTTGTCCAGCTTCAAATCATCTGGGTGGCACAGGATACCTCAGGCCCTGCAACTGGACTAAGGTGATCCCAGGCTGTTAATACCCTTAAGCTCATGAAAGAAGCAAACAAAAGCCTCCCAGAAGGAAAGGTAAAGAAGAAGAAGAAGAAGAAGACGATGACGAAGATGAAGACAAGAAGAAGAAGAAGAAGAAGAAGAAAGAAAAGCAGCAGCAGCAGCATTATTTCAAGGCTAAAATTGCTACAATTATTTCTACAATTTTTCAAATGCAATATCTGATAAAATCAAAGAAAACCAAGCATAGATGCAGTTAAGATAGTATGAATAAGGACCAGCAAAATCAACAAAACAAAAAAAGAAAGAGAATAACATGGTCTCCAAATATTGGCACTGAGCAGACGTTAAAACAATTAGCTTACTATGTCTCAGAAAATAAAATACAGGATTAAAAATTTCAGCAGAGAGCTAAAAATATTTTTTAAAAGACATAGCAGAAATGAAAAAGAACCAATAAAAATCGTAGAACTGAAAATATAATCACCAACATTAAGAACACAATGGATGGATTTTTTACAGATTAGACCTCACTGAAGAGAGAGAGAAAGAACTGAAAAATTAGTCAGGAGAAGATATCCAGCATGACATATAAAGAGGCAATGCATTGGAAAATATAGAACAGGTGATCAGAGACCTATATACAGTCTAGAATACATTTAACTGAATGCCTAGAAAAACAGTAGAGAATGGAGCAAATGAAATATATTACGAGGTAATGGCTGAGAGTTTCCCAAGCTGACATAAGATATGGATCTACAGACCAAAAATTAAATTACATGAACTTGGCAGAGAAGAGAGAGAGAAGGAGAAAAAACTTTAAGTCCAGGATGACTTAAAGAATTCTTAGGAATTCTAGCTTGAGAAAAGGATTATGTGACTAACTGAGATAAGAAATAGAGAAAGAAAAACAGATTTATTGAGGTTGGGGGGAGGCAGGGTGAAATAGAAACAAACATAGTAGGTTCCAATTTTTGCTTGTTGAATTTAACATCCAGACATGGATAACAAATGGGCCATTATTTCTTTAATACTTATTTTTCTTGTCATATTAAGGAATTTCGAAAACGTTCATTGTTTGGAAAGAATCATCAGATCTTTCTTGTTTAAAGAACCCCACACCTACAGGCTTCCTTCCCTTCCTGCTGGAATCCATGGGTTGCACCCATGAGTTGACCTACAAATGGATATTTGCAGCAAAATGTACAATGATTCGTAAATGGCATCTGTCTGGTGTTAATATGTAATCATTCATCCATTGCAACCTACACAGAGAAAAACCCATCACAACCAAATAATTTTCTAGTTTTTAACACCATGAACCATGACTCCATTTAAAAAAAAAATACATATTATAAAGGCAAGTTATGGAAAAAAATGTAGATTTTCTGCACATGACACCAACTTCAAGCAATGTGATAAATACAACTTCGTGTCACAATATACAATACTACTACCTTAAGGATTATCATGAGTTTTTTAAATACAATTATTTGACTTAATTAACACACACACACAAAATAAAACACTGGCTATCATAAATCGCTAAATTTTTATTTCATATTTTACTTAGAAAACATCACAACTTTCACAATAAGTTCTGGGGATAATGGATAAAAATGACATAACATGTTTTCTTTTCAACTGAAAAGTCCAAAAATGTTAGAAGATGATAATGATAATGCCAACTATTTACTTGGGCATTTTCTGCATACTAGCAACTGTTCTATGAGGCTTGCATGGATTCACTCATTAAAGAGATTTGAAAATGTCTACTAACATAAATTGTATGCTAGTGACATAAGGAATATTATTTAATGAAGAGTCACAATTTTTCCCCAAGATTATTCCATTTATAAAATACACTATAACTTAGCTAGTATAACTGGGGACCAGAAATACATGTGGGAGAAATTAGAAAAAAAAAAAAACAAAAACAAAAAAAAAACCACTTTACATTGATAAACTACAAGTAAATCTATAATTTTTTCCATGTTATATTTTTCTTCTGAAAGTAGAAATAAAATTTTCAAAACCAATGAACAAGAAAATAATTTTAATTTCAAACAACCCTTTGGATGCCAACATTAACAATTTAAATATATCTAAAAGTATCCATGTAATTGCCTTATGCTATCAAAGGTAAATTTTTCAACACTAATTGTAGGTCTAATTGTCCCAGATGTTTTCACTCTAGTATTTCCCTGTATTACTACCACTACATTATTGTGATTTCCCTGAATATCATTCCAAATAGTCATTATGAATACATTTGATATAAAATCATAATTTTATATAATCTGATGAAACTTCCTAATACAACCTCCAGCTAAAAAAAAAAAAGGCTAGAGATATACATTTTTTTGAAATAGAAAATTCTTTCAGGAGAATTTTACGTAAGAAAAAACATTAACCTACTTCTTAAATTATTAAATGTCTTAAATGTTTATAAGTAATTTGGGACATCACTTAGCTGCATTCTTAACATTATGGAAGATTGAAACTTAATAGCCAATCTCTTCTTTACTGCTTCCAGCCATTTTGACTCTCAGATTTCTAAAAATGTGGCTCTCTTGCTTAGCTTTAAAAAAAAAAACCTATTTGAATCTCCGATGTAGTCTGCGACCCTCATTACTTTAAAAACTATGGAGTCACAGAACCATTTGACTCTTCAGATAACACAGGACACTAAAGGTCTTTGGATCCAGCCTCTCACACATTTGAATCCCCTCTGCCTCATCTACTGAAATGTTTCCCTTACCTGACACCTACAAAAATGGTGAATTACGCACAATTACTCCATTTTCAGTTTTCATCATTACAAATGTCTTCCCTACACTGAGTGGAAATCTTCTTTCCTAGAACTGCCACCTACTGGGGGCTTCAACAATCTCAGCACTGACTCTGACAGATGACCTTGGGCAAGTTCATATCTTGTTGCTTTAGTTTCCTTGGTGGTAAAATGGGATAAGAAATGTGTGTCATAAAGGTGCAGAGAATAAGAGTGTTTATACAGCACCTGCCACAATGTGGGGTTCATTGGGAATATGAGGCCCTCCTCTGCATGGCTACCTTAGAGATGTGGTGGCAGCTATTGTTTACATTCCTTCTGGCCAAATATCCCCATTTCCTTCTATGTTTCTTTGAACAACATGGTATTGTCTCCTTTTTCTTCTAGTCATTCCTTTCTGAATAAGTTCAGCTCTTTGAGAGAAGGGTCAACTGTCAATTCAAAAAATATGTATTACCAACTATTTTACCAACTGAGCACAGCTTTTTACCTATGCGTGTCATTGAAAGATAATATTTCTCTTTTCCCTGTCCCTGGTTAGATCTTCTCCCCTCCCCATATTTGGACCTCTGACAAGCCGGGCTACAAGAAAGGCAATAGGTTTGGATACTTTCTGGTTCTAAAGTAAGGAGAAGACAGAAGTGCCCCTCAGACATTAGGATGTAGCTGAGAAGTTTCTCTCTTCATTCTGGTAGAATGTTGGCTCTTCCTCATCAAGGATCGTTTCTCTCTGTCCTTGCCATTCCTTCTTCTGGACTTCACAATTCTGGGCAGTGGCTCCATAAGACATCTTCTTTCTGGGACTCGAAAGACTCTCATGGTTGAGTTCTGTCTCCTCGGCTAATTCATCCTGGTCAATGATTCCACATTTCTCCTCAGAGAGATTCTCTGGGTCAGCCCACTCCTGTTTCTCCCCAGAAGCAAAGACCCCATAGAAGATCACACCACTGTAGTGCACTAGGGCAGCTATGAGGAACACATTCTGCCATTCTTCACGGGTCTAAATAAGGAAATAAAGTGCCAATTATTTATGTTTTAACTAAAACCAGAGATTACCAGTATGTCCTGAAGGCCTCTGCTGGGAAAAAGCACCTGCCCATGTGGGAGGCAATGCTCCTCTGCTCCTTGGCGGGGAGGACATGTGTCAGAAGCACCATCTAGGATTCAAATCTAATTTAAAAGAAAATTTTCAAAAATGAAAGTTAAGGCCAGGCACAGTGGCTTATGCCTGTAATCCCAGCACTTTGGAAGGTCGAGGCAGATGGATCACAAGGTCAGGAGATGGAGACCGACCATCCTGGCCAACATGGTGAAATGCTGTCTGTATTAAGAATACAAAAATTAGCTGGGCATGGTGGTGCGTGCCTGTAGTCCCAGCTACTTGGGAGGCTGAGGCAGGAGAATTGCTTGAACTCAGGAGGCAGAGGTTGCAGTGAGCCCAGACTGTACCACTGCACTCCAGCTTGATGACAGAGCAAGACTCTGTCTCAAAAAAAAAAAAAAAGAAAGAAAGTTAAGACTACGATGATTATGAAAGTTAGACATGACAATAAATATGTATTTTTTAAATTTAGAAAATACATTTTAAAATAAACAACATATAAAAATATTAATACATGCAGCACCATTGCATAGCTTTTTGAATATGCAAATCAGGTTTCCTTTCACATAGTCAGCTAAATTAAACTTGTTTTAGGAACCCACCAGTTTAAATATCAGAAGTCTCCTTGCTTGTTGTTGGATACATAATAATATTTGAGCCATTAAAGTTCTCACCCTTGACTGACAGGAATTTTATTTATAATCTTATTTACAGTGTAAAAAACATATATCAAAAATAATGAGAATTTGTGTCTAAGACTGGGGGAAGATATCTTGGATTTAGTAGTCATCTTATCAATCCTATTATTTCATGAACAGAGAGGGAAAACATAAATTCTCTGGCTATAAAATCCTACCTTCCTTTTCTGTCAAAAAGTAGGAAAATTTATCTCACACTTTCTTCTGCAGGAAGCTCAAAAAACTTCTGAAGATGTATTTGTAATAGACAATCCAACTAAGAAAATAGTTGGGGAGAAAAATTCCATGGTATCAAAGAATTATTATTTGCAGAAAGCAGCATCTCGAGACGTTTCAATGACAAAGATAAAGAAATCACGTGGGCTGTGAGTGAACTCTGAATGGATCTTCCTCTACCACCCACCCGTGTCTAAAATCACGAAGGCTCAGTAACAACTGGGTGGGTTATTAACGTCCTGTTTATTTTATTGTTAACTAGGAAGTCAAACAGCACTCATCTTTGTATGCTGAAACATGCTAAGCAATGGATGGAAATAGGCTATCAACTTCAGTCACTGAGAATGAGAAAACAAACTTCAATAACTCATTTATCCCGGGTTGACTGCCTCAGTTTCTTCTTCGTGTCTCTAAACAGTTTCTATAGCCCACACCCTTCTTTCCAGACTTTTATTCCTCAATTGAGAAAACATAGAACAAAACAATTAGCCTTGGTGCCATTGATAAGCAATGATTTGAAAATCAGAAGAAGAAAGAAAGAAAAAAAAAGTTCAGCTGACTCAGTCAAGGTCAAGGACATACACATTTACACACTGCAGTAGACCCTTGAAATCCCAAGTTTGTGTAGTGCTCCAGTCCTCCGATACTGTAACCCACAGCCACAAAGGAGACCTTTACCTTGTGCCTGGTCATTGCACCGACAATGAGGGGACAGACCATTCCAGAAAGTGTTCCCACTCCATTTGAGATCCCCATGAGAATGCTGGCATAGCGGGGGGCAATGTCCAGGTGGTTGACATTAAAACCTACAGTGAAGTCAAAACCTCAAAATCAGTCAAGAACAGAATTCCAAATACACTTTGGAAAATACTCAGTTGCCCCAACTTTCACCAATCTGTTTGGTTTCCTCTAGCATATGACTGATGGATATTAGTTTCCAGTCCAAGAGAATTGGGTTCATGAGGCTGTGTTTGCACAAAGCAACACCAGTAAATAATGCTGGAATTGATTATCAATATCTATAATGAGCTCTCTCTACAAGGAGAATTATGGCATCTCTACCTTGTAGGTTCTGAATTCCAAAATACGGTGTTTGGTGCAATATTGAAAAGCCTAAAGCCTGAATCACATTTATGCAGAGTAAAGAATTACATAATCACATACAGTATGATTAGACCCAAATCTTGCCTCATAAAATTCCTGCTCCTACCCGACTCACTCTTAAAAGGCAGCCAAGAGTAATCCAACTTTATTGACCACATAACCACATTTGACACAATGAAAAGGGTACTTTTCAATGAGACATTTGCACAAACATTGGCAGAACCTTCTGTAATTTATGAAACACTTTCACACATCTACTTGATTTGCGTCTGTAAATCTGCACTTGAATCTTATTTCTACTATGTCAACAAGTAATTTGGGAACCTTTGTTTCTTCATCTCCAATATGAGGATAATATTACTACTCACTTCATAAAGATGCTATGATAGAGACTCAGGGGAAATAGGTATGTGAAGCCCTCAGCAAATATCAAAGCTATGCTAACTACCACTACTGCTACTACCGTCTGCTGCCACTGCCAAGTAACTCCCACTCTTTGAGGTCTTCTATCAAAAGATAATGCTGCTGGCCAGGCATGGTGGCTCACACCTATTATCTCACCACTTTGGGAGGCCAAGGCGGGCGAATCACCTGAGGTCAGTAGTTTGAGACCAGCCTGGCCAACGTGGCAAAACCCTGTCCCTACTAAAAATACAAAAATTGGCCAGGCATGGTGGCACATGCCTGTAATTCCAGCTACTTGGGAGGCTGAGACAGGAGAATCGCTCAAACCCAGGAGGCAGAGGTTGCAGTGAGCTGAGACTCTGCCACTGTACTCCAGCCTGGGTAACAGAGCAAGATTCCATCTAATAATAATAATAATGCTGAAAGTGGTAAAATTATAAGTCGCTGACTCACAATTAATCCATTTATCAGGAGGAATGAGTGGAGTGAGTGGGGAGGAGTGAAGGCAGGGAAAGCAAGTCTATAAAAGAGGAAGCTTAAGGCACTGTAAACCAACTTTGTCAATATATTCCAGGGGTACATGTTTGAGTCAGACAGACCTTGGTCTGGCAGCTTAATTGAGATGCAAGCCTAGACCAAGGATTTAAACTTCCTGAACTTCAGTTTTGTCATCTATACAATGAGATAACCATTCTTATAAAATTGTTGTAGGAATTAAGTTAAATAATGTATATTAACTACATGGTGTATAGACGTGAAAACCAACAGTCATGCTCTTTCCAGGTGGTTATCCATCCTTCTTGTTTCCTAGCATCTTCCCTGAACTAGCAAAGGGTCTGGCACATGGTAGTCACTCAATAAAGAATTGTTAAATTAATTACCAACTTCAGCTACTGAAATTATAGCAAGGGGTTGTAGGTTTTACTCATCATTTTGTTTTTCTTTGCTTTGCTTTTTACTTCTCTATTCTCTGCAAAGAACCTGAAAATAGGATTTAAAACATTTTTTGGTCTAATCTGGCACATTGGTTGGTTGTTCATCTGGCACAAAAATACCTCCCTTCAGAGAGAATTTTTGGGAAAACTTCTTGGTAATAAACATACCTTCTCTTTCAGGTCAACGTGCCAAATGATCAGAATATAAAACAGTTGCAAGTTCATTAATCTTACTGTTGACTGGAATGTAATAAACACTTTATTAGAAAACAATCCGGAGATAAGAAGCAATTAATAAGATTGTTGAGTATCATGCTCTGATACAAAGCCTGGGCATCTGTGTTCAGCTAAAGATAATGTGGAAAAGCCATTTAGGTTTTAAGCTGCACAATCCTGGCATTTGGGTGGGGTGGGGGAATCACTGAGATACTGAAATATTGATAGATTTTTATAGTAGATGAAAAAAATTACCCACAAACTGAGAGAATCTGTCTTCTCTGTCCAGGACATTTCCCAAAACAGGCATCACTCATCCCTTTCCGATTTTTAACCTCATCTATCTCAGCAGTCTTGTCTATAATCAGCTCCTAAATTATGCCAGTCAGTCTTCCCTGGTGTCCATGTTTATTCCTTTAAAAGTGGCAGCGTAGATCCTGAGGAATTATTGCCCCCGTGGCCACAATCCTTCCCACAGTGTCATTCTTGGGACCAACAGACCTTTATTCTACTCCCAGCCACTCACTAGGCAAGTTAAATCACACTTTGGTTTCCCCACCAATAAAGTGAATACAGCAATACCCTTCTCATCAAGGTTGCAATGGGGATTGAATGAAATCATGTTTAAAAAGTGGCAAGCAAGCCAGGCATCATGGCTCACACCTGTAATCTTAATACTTTGAGAGGCTGAGGCAGGAGAATCACTTGAGGTTAGGAGTTTGAGACCAGCCTGGGCAATATTGTGAGACCCTGCCTCAAAATTTTTTTTTAAATAGCTGGGCGTGGTGACACATGCCTGTAGCCCCAGCCACTCAGGAGGCTGAGGCAGAAGGATCAGCTGAGCATGGGAGGTAAAGGCTGCAATGATCTGTGATAATGCCACTGCACTCCAGCCTGAGTGACAGAGCAAGACCCTATTTTTTTTCTGAGACAAAGTCTCGCTTTGTCACCCAGCCTGAAGTGCAGTGGTACAATCTTGGCTCGCTGCAACCTCTGCCTGCAAGGTTCTAGCTATTCTCATGCCTCAACCTCCCCAGTAGCTGAGACTACAGACACATACCACCACAATCAGCTAATTTTTGTATTTTTAGCAGACACGGGTTTCACCATGTTGGCCAGGCTAGTCTCGAACTCCTGATCTCAGGTGATCCACCTGCCTCAGCCTCCCAAAGTGCTGCGATTACAGGCATGAGCCACTGCACAAGTCAAGAGACCCTGTTTAAAAAAAAAAAAAAAAGGCAGCTGCTGTGATTTAGAGTATTGGGTTTTTCTCCTACAGATTGTGACTTAATTGGCAATTGGGGCAAAGGAAGCACTATGAACCTGAACATTTCAGTATCTCTGGGAACAGGATATGGATCTCTTTTGCATCACAAAGTTATCAAGTAAAGGTGTTCCTCAGCATCCTACTGGAAGCAAGTCGTGATTGCTCTGCCGTTGCTACTCAAAGTGTGGACTCAGCAGCAGCAGCAGTGGCGGCCACGCTGGGGAGCCTGTAGAAATGCAGAATCTCAGGTCCCACCCTAGAGCTACCAAATTTCAGAATCTGCATTCTGAAATATCCTAGGGTGATTTCACATAACACTTTGAGAAGCACTGAGCTGGAGTGTGTACTAATAGAACAACATTGTTGAATACTTGTTAATTTTGTTATGCATCTGGCACTCTAAGAGCTTCAGATAAATAAAGGTAAGGTCTTAATTTGAATAAATATTTCCAGTAGAATGCAAACTTTATGAGAGTGAAATCTTTCATTTGTTCACTACAATACCCCCAGTGCTAAGAATAATGCCCAGCCCACAAGAAGTGTGAGGAGACGCATGAATGATCTCAGTTTGTCTCCCAGCAACCCCGTGAAGTTACTGTTTTATCCTCCAATCTCTAGATGAGAAGACTGAAGCTTGAGAGTTTTCATAATTTAGCAAAAAAATATTTTTTATAAATAGTAAGCAGTACAGAAGGCCTCAAACCCAGGTCTATGCATCTCTAAACCTAACTCCTTAGCTGCGAGTTACTTTTAATCTGGACTTTTACTTTATCTTCTAATTTAACCATTCATCGGCTTGATTTATTTTGATAGATACAAGCCCCTGTCTTAGGGCAGTTTAGACCAGAGGTTCCATATTTTTCTATTCTGGGACACTAATGCTCTATTTGATATTTAAGGCAGCCTGGAATAATGGAAGGAGCGCAGGCTTTGGGCCAGGCAGAACCGTTCTTTCATCCTTCTTTTGCCACCAACTGTGTGGCATTAGAAAAGTACCAAATTTTTCTGAGCTTTATTAAAATAGTGAAAAATCAGTAATGTAGTGACAGACTACTACTTGCTTCACAATGTTGTGAGATACATGCAACATATGTAAAACATTTTTAACCAATTTTTTATTTTTATTTTATTTACTTGTTTTTTTTCTTGAGACAGTGTCTTGCTCTGTCACCCCAGCTGGAGTGCAGTGGCACAAGCTCAGCTCGCTGCAACTTCCAACTCCCAGGCTCAAGCCATGTTCTCACCTCAACCTACTGAGTAGCTGAAACTGCAGGTGTGTGCCATCACACTCGGCTAACTTTTTGTATTTTTTGTAGAGATGGGGTTTTGCCATGCTGCCCAGGCTGGTCTCAAACTCCTGGGCTCAAGTGATCCACTTGTCTCAGTCTCCCAAAGTGCTGGGATTATATGTGTAAGCCACTGCACCCAGCCAATAACCGGGCAATGTTTTACAATGCTTTGAATATAGACAAACTACTAAATTTCACTCTTTCACCCAGTTTTGCATAAGAAGCTTCTGATATGATTGCACCCTGGCCTCTCTCACACATGCAGTAGACTGGTTTCTGCTTTTGTAAGATGGGGATCATAACAGCACTGATACTCACTAGGGTAGTTGCGAAAAAGACAGGGCTTAATATACACAGATGGCTTGGTCTGCAGCACAGAATCTGTGCTTGTTCATCGCTAGCTCACATCATCATTGTCATTATTCTTACCAGCTTTACCCTGTTCAGAAAATTACTTCCCCCTCTCTGGACCTGCATTTTCTTGTTTGGAAAATGAAAGCAATGAAGTAGACAAAAATCTAAAGAAGGTTTTCATTCTCAGAAAAACTTCTGATTTTATGACTGTAATGACACTAGCAGTTCTCTAGCGAAAGGTGAGGCTTGAAAAAGTCACAGGAGCCTCTGTTAGGTAGGGTGTCATGGTGCTGAGTGCGAAAGTCCACTTCACCCGGGACATATACTTGAGCCTCTGCTCATGTCTCAGAAGGGTCACCTGCACTTTGTGTCTTTTTCCATAACAAAGTAAGTAGTAAAACCACCTTAACTGGGCTCTCAAGCCCAGTTCTCAGTGATCTTACAAAATCACCTTCTCTAGATGACATTCTCTGGGTGATGGTCCTGCTCTCTGAGAATGGACTGGCTACTGAAAGCAGATGTTACAATATCCTCGTCCTTCCTTCTTGCTAGGACTTGTTGAATCTATAGTCAAGATCTGGAAACCCAAAGGACATGTTACCTGAAATAGCAAAGCCACTAAATCCTACAGCAAGCACCAGAAAGGAGATAGCCACCCCTTTGGTATGGGAAAAGCCAACGACCAGGAGTAAGGTTGCTTCCATGCCAAAACCTGCAAATGGAAAAAGCAAGGGGGAAAAAATGTCATTTTCATATCGGTCAACTGAAGTTCCTTTATTTATCAAATAAGAATGAATCTATATTTCTACAGACCTATGTTTGTTTATTTTACTTTAAGTTCTAGGATACATGTGCAGAATGTGCAGGTTTGTTACATAGGTATACATGTGCCATGATGGTTTGCTGCACCTATCAACTCACCATCTAGGTTTTAAGTCCCACATGCCTTAGGTATTTGTCCTAATGCTCTCCCTTTTCTTCCCCTTCAACAGACTCTGGTGTGTGATGTTCCCCTCCCTGTGTCCATGTGTTCTCACTGTTCATCTCCCACTTATGAGTGAGGACATGCAGTGTGTGGTTTTCTCTTCCTCCACAGACCCACATTCTGGTACAGTGCTTATAATGCTACCCAGGTCTTTCATGACTATATGACTATAGTAATATTCCATGGGTGTTCATGAACCTTCTAACATTATCCTGGTGCACCTTTAACACCACACGGTCACAATAGGTTCCAGTGATGCTCCTGGGATAAGGGTTGTTAATTATTAGTTAACATGGCAGCTGCCCCTGCCGTTGTTAAATACTAAAACTCTACTATATAACTGTGTTAATGATCCCCCTTTGACTAGTTAAGTTATGGCCTTTCCCATAAAAGTAAAATGACAACACTAATATTTATTGCCAAAAGCAACCAGAAAACTGTAGCAAATATCTGAAACAAAACATAGCACTTCACCACTTGTAAAGCATAAGTCAAAAGTTTTCTACTTCAGAAGTTCACAAAGCTCTCATGCCTCTTAAAAAACAACAACAAACAATACATGAGATTTTTGCACAGAAAATTTTGCAGAACAAAAGTACTTTCTGTTCCTTTCATTCAGAATAAGTAAGTCTAGCACAATTAAAAAAACAAAAAGGATGAGGAAATTATGAAGAAGTTCCTTCTCACCAGAAAAAAAAAGTTCAGCCAACAACAGACAGAAAAATGATATAAATATCATTTCCAAGTATATAGAGTGCCCTAGGAGGGGGAGAGACAATTAGTAGTGCTTCATTTGGAGACTATCAGCTGATTCCCGACATCTCCACACAATTTTCCTACAGTACCTCAAAGGCAACATGCCTAAATCAATTCTCTCTTCCCCTATTTTTTTTTTTTTTTTTTTTGTGATGGAGTCTTGTTCTTACCGCCCGGGCTGGAGTGCAATGGCACGATCTCGTCTCATTACAACTTCCACCTCCCAGGTTCAAGTGATTTTCCTGCCTCAGCCTCCCAGGTAGCTGGGATTACAGGCATGTGCCACCACACCCAGCTAATTTTGTATTTTTAGTAGAGTTGGGGTTTTGCCATGTTGGCCAGGCTGATTTCAAACTCCTGACCTCATGTGATCCACCCACTTCAGCCTCCCAAAGTGCTGGGCTCATAGGCGTGAGCCACCGCCCCCAGCCTCTTTCCCTATTTTTCACTCCTAAACAAACAAGGCAAACCACCAGCACCATGTGCTTTCCTCTTCTTCTCTAATCTTCTATCTTCTGTGTTTAGAACCCAGTCTGTAGAGTCAAACTGGTATGGATTCACTTTCCACTTCAAACTCGGTAATTGTGTGGCCTTGAACAAGTTACTACACCTCTTAGATTCCTCATCCAAAAGATGGAAATAATACCACAGCCTTGTAGGGTGCTGGAAGAGTAAATGAAATTGGTATATGAGGTACTGAGTGTGGCAAACGAGCACAGCTCAACAAATGGCAGCCAGAAGTCCAACGCAGAAACTTCGGAACTGCCTTGGACTTTTCCTCCTGCCTCAGCTTTCACATGCAAATCTGCAGGTTTGGCCTCAGAAATATCTGTCCTGTCCAACTGCCACTTTCCCCTCCTCTGTCACTGCTTTAGTCCCGGGCCCGGTGACCTCTTACCAGGACGACTACAATAAGCCACTTATTTTTCTTCTTTTTTTTTTTGAGATGGAGTCTCGCTCTGTCACCCAGACTGGAGTGCAGTGGTGCAATCTCAGCTCATTGCAACTTCTGCCTCCTGGGTTCAAGTGATTCTCCTGACTCAGCCTCCCCAGTAGCTGGGATTACAAGCACCCACCACCACACCTGGCTAATTTCTATATTTTTAATAGAAATCAGGTTTTGCCATGTTGGCCTGGCTGGTCTCGAACTCCTGACCTCAGGTGATCCACCCACTTTGGCCTCACAAAATGCTGGCCTGAGCCACCATGCCCAGCCACAACAAGCCACTTTGGTAGTCATCCCAACTCATCCTCCTCTGATGCATTCTCAATACCACTCTCTTTCTAAGCCACACACCCCATTAGTCGCTCCTGTGCTTAACGTGTTTGTCATGGGCTCCACATCATGAGTATAATGTTCTCCAATAAATCCCTCCTGCTTACTGAAAATTCCAGTTTCATCTTCTTCCAGCCCTCATCTCTGCTTACTGCCCCATTCCATAGGCAGCCCTCTGTGCTGTAGAGTTACTGCTCTATTAGCTGCTTTGTAACCACACAGTGTCTCGTGCCCATACATTGTTTCTTTATCTGGGATACTCTTCTTTCACTACCTTCTCTGTTTCTGGATAAATCTTACCATTTTTAAAGTCCAGATTAAACACTGTCTCCTCTAGAAAGCCTCCATAACAACCCTCTCCCTGCTCTCCACCAATGAAGTTGTCATCACCTTCTCATTATTTTATAGAACTTTTCAATATTTCTTCGTAATTTTTCATTTCTGTTTCTGCCTCTCCCACAAAACTGTATATTTAACACAGAGTCTGGCTAGCATGTAGTATGCACTCAATAAATAATTTTTAGCCAGACGTGGTGGTGCACACCTGAAATCCCAGCACTTTGGGAGGCCAAGGCAGGCAGATCACCTGAGGTCAGGAGTTTGAGACCAACCTGGGCAACATGGCAAAACTGCTTCTCTACTAAAACAATAAAAAATTAGCCAGGCACAGTGGCGTGTGCCTGTAATCCTAGCTACTTGGAAGGCTGAGGCGGGAGAATCACGTGAACCCAGGAGGCAGAGGTTGCAGTGAGCTGAGATTGCACCACTGCACTACAGCCTGGGCAATGGAGCGAGACTCTGTCTCTAAATAAATAAATAAATAACATTTAATGAATTAACGCAAAGGAAAGAAATGGGACCCAAAATCAAGAAAATAAGGTTCACAAGCTAAAGTACTTATCGCAAATGATAGTTTACTTATTAATACTTACCTTTTTGAACCTATTTCTTGAACACTACTATAAAGAAGGGCAAGAACTAATAATTGTTTTAAATGACTTCAAATTATAAGATGAAATATAACTAGAGAAGTCATACTTTTAAAACTATCAGCTTTAAACCATTGCTATTTGTTCTTCATTTTATTACAACATTTAAGATTACACATAGGGAAAAATTGCTAGTGTTTCATATTCTAACTATATGTGTTTTAGAAGTGGCTTATCCTAAATAACAAGGCATCTGGCTGAAACTTCTTTTAACACTCTCAACCCAAGCGTTGAGAGTGCAGAAAATTAATTCGCCCAAAGAATTAGAATGATGACATTGTGTAAAGAATAAAACTTAGAAATGATACATCAGTTCATCTGTAAGAAAAAAAAGAGTTTGGCCAAATAGTTAGCAGATTGCCAAAGGGAAAAGAGTATTTAAGAGCCTAAATGGTTTTTATTGACAGTTAAAATACTAGAGACAGGACTGTATGTTTCAGGAGCTCAAAGATAAAATATGTGCTTTACGGGTAATCAGGAGATCTTTAAAACTGAACTTATTTAGAGTTGCCAAGAGAAACAAAACTAGGACTTAAAGGCCTAAGAAATATTTTATTTCCTATTAAAACAGTCTGAAGTTCACATATGCAACTGATTCAGCCAGAATAGAATTTTTGACTTCAGTCACACTTTACACATTGTATAGAGGGGGCAGTACAAGAATTTGGCAACTGTCTTTAAGTATCATGGATGTGAGCCCTGATTCAGAATGAACTAGAATTGAACATCATGGCTTAAGGTGATCTTTTTTTGCTTTAAATGATTTTAATGGCATGTAAAAATCAATGGAGAGAAAAGATGTCAGGCTCCAAGATATGTGTCATCCTTCTCAGACGAGAAATGCCTTCTATATTTCTTATTAGGAAACCAAATCACCAACCAAAATTATCTGGAAGATCATACCATAGCTTCATCATTTCCAAATCAACCTGCATTCTTCATGATGGCACAAAACTTTGTTTTCATGTAGTTATCTCTGGTCTAGCATCTCTGTATTTAAGCAGAAAAAGTGGGACCATTACAGTCTTTTTTTAACATTTTGTTTTCTATCTAATAACTCACTGGTCCTACTATAACAAAATATAAAACAACATGAAAAGCCATGTGAAGAGGTAGTTTTTTTAAAGATGGGAGATGAGGCAGAAGATTCCACATATGCTTTCTAGTTTCTGCAGAAAGAAACTATTTCCTCTCAACAAGCACTTTGTCAGCAATTAAACATCTTTGAGAGTTCTCGTGACCACAACACAACATCATCACCACGAATTAAAGAGAAACAGCAGAGGTATTGGGGCAGAATTAAATAGAAACAAGACATTCCCACAAAATATGCTCAAGAATCTCTAATGCATCTGGGGTTAGAAGAGGTTGTGCAAATACTGTTTAAATCAAGAGGCTTCTTTGAAGTTGCAGGTTTAGAAGTACATGTTTTTGGCCAAGGGAAATACAATTGAATAGCAAATACTTGTTAAAAAACTCCTTGAAACACTTCTGTGTTTTTGTGTCTTGAACACTGGAGAAGAAAAGCAGCATTAACATTTGTTGAGAACTTTTTCTAGGTTAAACACTGCACTAGGTGCATTTATACATCGTTTCATTTAACTCTCATAACTATCCTCTGAAGTAAATACTATTATGTAGATTTTAAAGATGGGAAATGTTGGCCCCAAGAATTTAGAATTCGACACCCCTCTCTCCATCTCCATTGCCACCACATTTGTCCAAGCCACCATCTTCTCTAGACAGGACAACTGAAATCGTCTCCTACCTGGTCTCCCTTCTTTTACTCCTGTACCCTGCATGATTCCCCAGAATAAAAATAAGTAAATCAGACTGGGTGCAGTTACTCACCCCTGCAATCTCAGCAATTTGGGAGGCTGAGGCAGGCAGATTACTTGAGGTCAGGAGTTCGAAACCAGCCTGGCCAACATGGTGAAACCCCATCTCTACAAAAATACAAAAGATTAGCCAGGCATGGTGGCCCACACCTATGAACCCAGCTACTCAGGAGGCTGAGGCAGGAGAATCACTTGAACCCAAGAGGCAGAGGTTGCTGGGAGCTGAGATCACGCCACTGCACTCCAGCCTGGGCAATAGAGCAAAACTGTCTCAAAAAAAAAAATAATCAGATCATATCCATCCCATGCTTTACATCATCTGCATCTCAGTGTACTTCAAATAAAACCCAAGCTCTGCATGTGCGGACAAGGCCAGCCAAGATCTGACCCCAGACAAACATCCTGATCCCATCTCCTATAACTCAGCCATTCTGACTCCCCTTCCTTCTATTCTCACACATGCCACATTCCTGTCTGCCCCAGGGTCATTGCACATGCTAGTTCCTCTGCCTGAAATCTTTTCCTGAGAGAGCTGTAACAAGACAGCACAAAATGCATTGCCAATCTAGCCATGTGGACATATTCAGAGGGATTACTAGAGAATAGCATGGCTTTAAGGAAACAGAAGAGGAGAAGAATTGAACTTGATGTGTAGAGAGCACTGGGATGAGAGGTGAAGGTGAGAACTCACAGGGAAAGAGAAAGGGAATAGGCAAAGTCAGAAACAAAGATATGTTCAGCACTTGGGTGAGGGCTGTTCAGCTGGAACAGAATTTTATCATTAGCAGGGTGAGGCTTTGGCTACTGTATTAGTTTTCATTTTTTTCATTTTTTATTTTTGAATAGCGATGAGTTCTCACTATGTTGCCCTGGCTGATTCGAACCCCTGAGCTCAAGTGATCTGCCCACCTTGGCCTCCCAAAGTGCTAGGATTCCAGTCATAGGCCATTGCACCAGGTCTACCACTGTATTAGTTTTCATTTGCTGCTGTAATAAATTACCATAAACTTAGAGGCGCTATGGCAGAATCTCTTCTTGTCTTCTCCAGCTTCTAGGGTCTGCTTACATTCCTTGGCTTGTGGCTGCATCACTCTTGACGCCTGCCTCGACCATCACATTCTTCTTTGACTCTGACCCTCCTTCTTCCTTTTATAAGGATTATTGTGATTACATCAGGCCCACCCAGATAATGCAGGATAAACGCCCAACTCAAGAACATCAATTTAATCCCACCTGCAAAGTCCCTTTTGTCATGTGAGGAAATATATTCCCAGCTTCTGAGGATTGGGACTTGGATATTATTTTGCCTGCTACAGCTCCCTTGGAGAGGACTTGAATGCAATATCCCAGAGCTTCACCTCCTGCCCACAAGAGACAGCAGGCCTACATCTACTAACCCTCAGTCCCCTACAGGAAAGTTCAAGCTAAGGTCAGGCCCACACATCCCTGCCCGGGACCAGCAGTCAAGCAGCTGGGAGAACAGATGCCAACAGACTCTTAGGCTCTCTTCCCGAAATGCTGTGGGATCAGATTATGCCTGCTCCTGTGTCCCTTGTTATAGTCCTCACTTCTAAACTGGCCTGGCCTAGCTAATCTGTTAGAGCATGCGCAATCCGTCCCTTTCAATTTAATATGAGAATTGTGAGCTCTTATCCATAGGTGGCGCTATCCTCTACCTCCTGCCGCTCATCCTGATGATGGTCCTCTGGAGGGGTAGCAGCAAACTAAGAGCTTTGACAGTGGGCTCCGGCTAACCTGATACCTTGCAGGGATCTGCCACTTGAGCACGTCCCTTTATTTTACCTCTGTTTCCTCATTGCAAATTGCATATAGTAATAGTACCTGCTCCACATGGTGATTATGAAGATTAAATAAGATAATGTACGTAAAAGATTTAGCTTAGTGTCTAGCACATAAAGTATTCAATAAATGTTAATTTTAAAAGAAAAACAAAACTACGTTTTTTTAAAAAGCACTTGTGAACACTGTAGGGTTGACAATTACTTTCACCTACCTCTTTTGGGAAATCACCTAACATCCACTTTGTCTTTACAAAATTTAAAAATACAGCACCAGCTAAATAAACCAGGAAAGAGAAAGTGTATGTGTATGTGTATGTGTGTGTGTGTGTGTGTGTGTGTGTGTGTGTGTATGTGTGGGTGCGTGCATAAATACCCTATGCACAAGCATAGGCTAGGAGGAAAGACTACTTTTATTCTGCTTCTTACCAAAACATATGGATAGGTAGAAAGGTAAGAAGGAGAGAAGGGAATAAACTACATAAGCAAACAATACATGTGGAGGGATGTATGGAAGGGTCCCAGCTCGCTGACCACTTGACAGCAGTGTGATGCGTAACAGTCAAGTATCTGCTGAGGGACAGACTTCGGGGTCTTTAAGATCCATTCCAATGACTAAATGTCACCTCTAATATATGCTCTGCAGTTATCTTTACTCTAATTCTACAAAAGCTGCCTAAGCCATTTATGAAATCCACAGTACCTCCACAGTTCATGATTTTTCTGACAGCAGTTGTGGTCAAAATTTGTCTGCTTCTTAAATAATCAGCCAATTGTCCTCCAATAGGTACAACGATTGTCATAACCATGTGTGGGACTGCTGATAAGAGGCCCACCTGGAAGGGAAAGAAACAATCAGCAATTTGTCATTACTTCTGAGAGAGGGGCCTCCCTAATTCCCTTACCCAGCTTCACTTCACAGCCCCCCTACCTACCACCACCAAATTTAAGCATCTAATTATATGGGATCTGGGTAGGCCTGAATTTCATAATAAATAAATGATGAATGAGTGAATGATTTTAGGCCTCCACCAGATTGGAAGCTCCTTGAGGGCAGAGATGACTTTTATTCATCACAGAGTACATGGCATATGGGAGATAAAGCACTTGCCATCCAGTGAGCACTGATGACTGATGGCAGCCACCATTACTATGCCAGCTCTTCCATGGTCACTTCTGACAGTTCTGTAGCTAAGCAGACATTTGTGTCTGCTTGGCTACTGTTCTTTCCCTTGTAGGAAAGATGTTTAATTATCTTATGATGATGGTTTATGAGTCACTATCCACACCTTTCCTCCCTAAAACAATTGGCCTGATGATAATGTCCAGAAGCACTGAAAGAGGTTCTTTTTTTTTGTTTTTTTGGAGTGGGGCAAAGTCTTGCTCTGTCGCCCAGGCTGGAGTGCAATGGTGCAATCTGTCTCTTTGCCTCCTGGGATCAAGTGATACTCCTGTCTCAGCCTCCCGTGTACCTAGGATTACAGGCACGCATCACCACACCTGGCGAATTTTTGTATTTTCAGTAGAGCCGGGGTTTCGTCATATTTGTCAGGCTAGTCTCAAACTCCAGACCTCAGGTGATCCACCCGCCTTGGCCTCCCAAAGTGCTGGAATTACAGGCGTGAGCCACCACACCTGGCAGAAAGAGGTTCTTCCTAAACCATTGCAAGCAATGATTGTTACTGCTATAGTCACCATTATGGAGAGGGGGTGGTCTGCAAAATGAGTAAGGCTCTTACTGCTACTCACCAAGAGCTTACAGAACAAAAATAAAACCCATACCCTCAAATCTTTTTATCCTTACCTAATATGCCATCCTTGAGCTAGTTTCAAAACCAATTTGAAATTGGGTAGGCCATAAATCTTTAAAGCAGTTTAATACAGCTCTGATCCTTGCTAAGAAGAAATTAAATAGCTATGCATACTATGCATAGAATGTATAACTTGCCAGACAGCCAGACTATTACGTGTCACAGACCTGTTATGAATTACAATTAGAAATCTAATTATTTTATCATGCAAAGTTATTTTCTGTAGAATCAAGAGATTTAAAGTTCAAGAATATTTGAAGCATCTGTGTGTTTACCTTACTTATTGCAAATCCAAAGACCTCTTCAAAATAAGCAGGCTGACTTATAAGGAGCAAATAAAAGGTCCAGCTTCTGCAAAAATTTGCCACAATGATTGCATAAACCGGCAATGATGTGAAAAATCTTTTCCATGGGGTACTAAATTTCTAGGGAGTAAAAATACCATGAGATTTTTTAGTAAAGATGTTGACATTTTTTCTGTAAGAAGACAATACACTCATCAAAAGAAGCAAGTCTTCATCTGTCTTTTTATACTTACACTTAGACTCACCACGTTGGCCCCCTCTCCTATGCTTGTCTCTATATAGGTCTTCTCCTCATTAGATATTGTTGGATGAGCTGCTGGGCACTCATAGGCCTGCAACAGCCAAAACATGTACCAAATAATCCCAAACATACCTGCAGTTAAAAAAGAAAAGGCTTAGTTATATGGTCTTATTTTCTTTCATTTCTAAATTTTTCAATTTTATATTATTTTTCATGTCAGATGGGTAACATGCCAGTGTCGTAACAAGGTTTGAAGGACTCAAACATCTCACACGTGCATGTGAACACCCAATTATCATACTTATAAACTACAAAGGGATCTTTACAATATTTCCAAATGGCAGTATGTTCAGGTAGGAGAAGGTACTTTGTTGATGTTCCTCTTGTTGTTAACTGGCATTTAAAGAAAGACAATGTTCTGCTCATTTTTTAAAGTCAACTTTAATATAAACATTAATCAAATTACATATAAAGTACTCCATTTATACAATAAACTTGTTTTAGTAATCTCTATTTTGATGTAATAAACTCTTAGCTAAACCCATATATAGTAAAATACCATCTGCATGAGTCACATGTGAACTTGTGGAGTCAAATCACTCACCATAAATATAGAAGACAGAGGACCATCCAATGTACTGCACCAAAACCCCAGCCAGGGGCATAGCAACCACCGCCCCCGCATAGGAACCTGGAACAAGAAAAAACGAGGAAATCTTATCAATCATCATGCAAACCTTTTTAGCCCATTTTGAATTCATGTGGTAAAGTCAGGAATGAATCAAACTGAGGAGGAGTCAGACTGCTTTCGTGCAGAGAGACAGGCAAACTTCCAGTGTGCCTTAGAACAGGGCTTTCAGGAGAGGAAGGTCACCAAGATGCCCTTTAACTTCATCCAGGGACCACACAGGATTTGGACAAAGATTGCTCCAGCACCACAATTTGGAATTATATGACAGAATGGAATCAGAAGATGTAAAAATCTAAGAGAAATTTAAAAAATTCAACCAGGTACGACTGGATACTAAAACGAGCAAGCAAAAAAAAAAAAAAAAAAAAAAAAAAAAAAAATATATATATATATATATATATACGCACACACACAAAAAAAAAAATTTGCTTAGGAAGACTGGGAGGATTCTCATCCAGGTCTTTAAATGAGGGACAATGAATTATTTTAAAAATCATGATTTTTTATAGTCTTGATTTAAAAAAAAAAAAAAAAAAGGAGGGGGTTGCCAGGCACAGTGGCTCATGCCTGTAACCCTAGCACTTTGAGAGGCTAAGGCAGGCAGATCACTTAGCCAGGAGGCCAGGAGTTCAAGACCAGCCTGGTCAACATACCGAAACCTCATCTCTACTAAAAACAAAAAATTAGCCTGGCATTCTGGTGCACACCTGTAATCCCAACTACTCAGGAGGCTGAAGCACAGGAATCACTTGAACCCAGGAGGCGGAGGTTGCAGTGAGCCAAGATCTTAACACTGCACTCCATGACAGACCAAGACTATGTCTCAAAAAAGAAAAAAGGTGAGGAGGGAACAATTAAATTCCAGATGGCAAGAGGGCTGCTGTCTCCATTCAGCTGCTGAATGAGTACATTTTTACATTTGTTTCTTACTTTGTAAAGCATAACCTTGCAAACTTACCTGTGTGTGGATGTTTATCTTGTCTAGACAAGATAACTGCAACTAGAGGCAGTGACCTGACCTCTACTATCCTCTGGACATCTGGTAGGGAAACACGAGCCCTGTGACCTCTCATTATTGGGAGTTACTAGCTGAAAGGAAAAGTTACTCTCTGAAACTCCCCCTGGGCTATGAATGAAAAAACTCTTGCTTCAGAAAAAGTGAGTGGTGAAAGAAAATTCTATATCCCGGAATTCGTTGCTAAGGAGGATCTTTAGGAAATGGGAGATTGGGAATCTTCCAGAGAAATAGATTAAATCACATCTTTCCAAGGTGGGCCTGACCCTCGATGAAAAGCTCAGCCTGAGATCTGGAATCTGAACATCATGAGACCCAGGAAGTCAAGAGACTCATTTTCCCCAGAGACAAGATGGGAATGAAATTTTTGTACTTTTAGTAGAGATGGGGCTTCACCTTGTTGACCAGGAGGGTCTCCATCTCTTGACCTCGAGATCCACTTGCCTCAGCCTCCCAAAGTGCTGGGATGATAGGCGTGAGCCACTGCTTGCAGCCAAAATATCCATCTCAAAGAGTTGTTTTGAGGGTCAAATAAACTATGTAGTTAAAGAAGCTTTGTATGGATAAAGGGTTACACAAATGCCAGCTATTATAGCTATTATCCTATACAGAATGAAAACACACTCAAAAAACAAACTCAGGGTTTCTCAAACCAATAAGGCAAGCACTCCAGGCATGTGTTGAGAATGGGCTGCAGGTCTGACTCTGCTGTGCGTGGGGACAGGTTGGCCTTCATCCCCAGGCCAAATACCCTGGGAGTTGGGGTGGGCGTGTCTGGTTTAGGAGATACAAAGGAATGCCTGGGACAGGGAAAAATAGAGAATAACACCCACCCCCAACTAAGATGCACTGAGTGCTTTCTGGGCACCTAGCACCATGCTAAGTATTCTGTACCCGTGACTTTGTTTAACACTCCTTCAACCTGACAAGGTAGGTACCAATATGACCCCCGTTTTACAATCAGAAAGCCAGGCTTAGGGAGAGAAGATGGACTGCCTGAGGTCACACAGGTAGAAGTGACAAATTGCTAACTCCAAAGCCCTCACTCTTTAATCATTCAGTCATGCTCCTTCACTCAAAAGCACCTGATAATTCCCCTTACATAGTAAGAAGCCTTCTCTCATTGGAGAAACTTTACAATGTGATATGGCTTGGCTCTGTGTCCCCAGCCAAATCTCATCTCAAATTGTAATCTCCATGTGTTGAGGGAAGGACCTGGTGGAAAGTGACTGGATCATGGGGGTGGATTTCAGCCCTGCTGTTCTCATGATAATGAGTGAGATCTCATGAGATCTGATGGTTTAAAAGTGTGGCACTTTCTCCCGCATGCTTTCTCTCTCCTGCCACTATGTAAGACGTGCCTTGCCTCCCTTTTCACCTCCTGCCATGATTGTCAGTTTCCTGAGGCCTCCCCAGCCATGCAGAACTGTGAGTCAATTAAACCTCTTTCTTTTATGAATTACACAGTCTCAGGCAGTTCTTTATAGCTGCGTGAAAACAGACTAATACACAATGTGACCTAAACTACCCCTCTTCTCTGTCAGAAAAAAAAAAATCTTCCTCATCCTTTTAGACATTCTTCAATGTCAGTTTCTATTAGACACAGCCCCTCGAGCAGACAATGGGGCACTCAGTCCTTACTGCAGCTGCCCCCGCTGCTTGCAGACTGCCCTGGGGAGCTGACTGCAGCTCAGTCCCGTGGGCCTCAGATGATTGTTGAATGGTAATGGGGAGAAGAACAGAGCACAGCTGGGGGTGAGAAAGAGGCCATGGTTCTGCCCTCACTAGCTGCAATAATTTAAATCTTTTTTGCCTTCCTGAGCCTCAGTTTCCTCAACTATAAAACAGTGGGTTATAACTGGTTATATCAGTCTGTTTTCAAGCTGCTGATAATGACAAACCCAAGACTGAGCAATTTACAAAAGAAAGAGGTTTAATTGGACTCACGTTCCACGTGGTGGGGGAGGCCTCACAATCATGGTGGAAAACAAAGAAGAGCAAGTCATATCTTACATGGATGGCAGCAGGCAAAGAGAGAGCTTATGCAGAGAAACTCCCATTTTAAAAACCATCAGGTCTCATGAGACCCATTCACTACCATGAGAACAGCATGGGAAAGACCCACCACCATGATTCAATAATATCCCACCAGGTCCCTCCCACAATGCATGGGAATTATGGGAACTACAAGATGAGATTTGGGTGGGGACACAGAGCCAAGCCATATCACTGGATGTTTTCTAGACTCCCTTATCTTTTGAGATTAAGAATTGACTGGCTCCAAGCCTGGATTTCCTTCTTTAACATTTTCCCTTGGCTGTTCTTTGAAACCAAGGCCACACCTTAGCTGGGACATGTAATGAGGCCTGTGCCCTTGATAGGTAACTTTCCTTGAGAGTCAAACCATTTCTTAAATCAGCCCTTTTAGGGCTATAAAAATACACTAAGAATGGGGAGTGGCTGCTAGTCATTCTTGTTTTGCTGATGAATCAAAACGAAATGTCTTACAAATAAACCATCCGAAGAAAGTAAGGTCAAGGATCTAACAAGCCACAGGCCAGTACACTCTTCTAGAGTTGATGTAAGCTCAATAGTGGGGATGGAGATGCTCTTAAACTGCAAATGAGAGGACGAAGGTGGTTTCTAAGGACAAGAGACACTGTTGATGTAAAGACATCTTGGCTGTGCACACAATTCCCAACTAGGCACAAAGTAGGCATATCAGTGAATACCTCACACCACATTCTCAGGATTACTTTTTTATTATTTCAAGGAGGTTAAAGGTCAGCAGGAAGAGGTAAATTAAGACACTTGCAGAAATAAATAGAAAGCTATATTTCTCTCCTTAGCAAATAAATATATGTTAGCTTGTCTTAGGAAAGGTGTGCTAGCTTGAAAATCAGACAGACCTAAGCTGTAATTCACACTACCTAGGCCGCATTGTGACTTTTGTGGCCTAAGGTACATTTTTTTTTGAGATGGGGTCTCACTCCGTCACCCAGGCTGGAGTACAATGGTGTGATCTCGGCTCACTGCAACCTCTACCTCCCATGCTCAAGCGATCCTCCCACCTCAGCCACATGAGTAGCTGGGACCACAGTCAACAGCCACCACATCCAGCTAATTTTTTCTATTTTTGGTAGAGATGGAGTTTCATCATTATGCCCAGGTTGGTCTCGAACTCCTAGGCTCAAGCAATCTGCCACTTTATCCTCCCAAAGTGCTGGGATTACAGGTACAAGCCACCCAACATGCCTGGTTGGTCTAAGATACTTCCTTCATGAACCCTTCCCCCAACACATTTACAGCTGTGTTGATGGCAGCAGCATGTGCTATTGTTTTTCTGTTGTTGATTGATACCTAGAGACCCAACGACACCTGGAGAGGCCAGTCTCACAGGAGTAGCTTGGAGAGGGGCAACCTCAGCAAGGTGAAGTTTGGAGGCCCAGGAATTAAAGTCATATAGTACTTGGGGGCTACTCATTTACTTTCAGATAAGATGGATGGTCTTTACTTCTTATTATCCAGGATATAATGGCAAAAATTAACTAAATGTCTGTATGACAATCACACCATTGCCCTCCAGCCTGGGTGACAGAGTGAGACCCCGTGTATGTGGCAGGAGTGTGAAGTAAAGAAAATTCCAGATCAAAAGTCAGGTCTTGTTCTAGCTCCACGATCTTGGGCAAGTCACTGAACTTCAGTTTCATATGAGAAGGAGAGGTGTGGGATGCTTGATGATCCCATCTCTTCTACTTTTGTCCTTAGCAAATGTCATCTGTGGGCTAATCCAACAACCACTTATAACCCTTTCTCCTTTCCCCTTCACTCCTGAAGAGGCTAGTGAAGCTAGGTATCTGCTTGCCTAGTCTCCTCTGCAGGTAGTAAAGCATATAGGATATATGCTTACATAAAGTTAGGATCAAAGAAATGAAAGTTGAAGGGTGGTAGGGGGCTTTGGGAAAGCTTTAGTTTTCCTGATGAAAGGGACAGATGGAATAAGCACAGGAGTAAATAAAAAGCTATCCCAAAGTACAGCAGAGTAGAAAGTCAGAACATGCATAGGCCCTGGATGGATTTTTGAGCAGCAGAACGAACACCAGCAATCACTCACCTTTAGAATTCTGTTATATAAAATAAATAGACTCATTTTAAGGCCCTTAGGAGGGTTTTCAGTTACTTGAAGCCGAAAAAGCATTTCATTTCTTTTTTATTTATTGTTTTTAGAAACAAGGTCTCACTTTGTCACTCAGGCTGGAGTGCTGTGGCCATCACAGCTCACTGCACCTTCAACCTCCTGGGTTCAAGCAGGCCTCCTGCCGCAGCCTCCCTAGTAGCTAGGATAACAGGCACATAACACCATGCTCGGCTAATTTTTTTTTTTTTTAAGACAAAATCTCACTATATTGCCCATGCTGGTCTCGAACTTCTGGGCTCCAGTGATCCTCCTGCCTTGGCCTCCCTAAAGTGCTGAGATTATAGGCATGAGCCACCACATAAGCCCAAAAAAGGATTCATAAATAAAATTTGTTATGGTTCTAATATACCTACCACAAAAAGAGGTTGTGGCCAATCGACTTCTCTCCAAAGGCGGTGCCCACTTACTCCACATCCCATGGCAGGCTGGGTAGGTCACACCCTGACAAAAGAATTGCAAATAAATTAGTTGACTTGATTACAGTTTCTGCTTGTGTTTAAAACATGGATGCTGCTTCTTCACATAGGCTACAATATAAAAGCCCAATTCATAGACACTGTTGTAGGTTGAATGTTTGTGTCCCCACCAAATTCCTATGTTAAAACCTAATTCCCAATGTGATGGTATTTGGAGATGGACCTTTGGGAAGTGACCAGGTTGTAAGGGTGTAGCCCTCATGAATGGAACTAGCGCCTTATAAAAGAGACTTCAGGGAGCTCCCTCACCCCTTCTGCCATGAGCAAACAAAGAGAAGGTAGCTGTTTATGAACCAGGAAACTGGCCCTCCCAAGTTATCCATCTGCCAGCTCCTTGATCTTCAACTCCCCAGCCTCCAGAACTGTAAGAAATACATTTCTAGGCCAGGTGCAGTGGCTTATGCCTATAATCCCAGCACTTTGAGTGACCAGGGTGGGCGGATCACTTGAGGTCAGGAGTTTGAGATCAGCCTAGCCAACATGATGAAACCCCATCTCTACTAAAAATACAAAAGCTCGCTGGGCATGGTGGCAGATACCTGTAATACCAGCTACTTGGGAGGCTGAGGCACGAGAATCACTTGAACCTGGGAGGTAGAGGTTGCAGTGAGCTGAGACTGCACCACTGCACTTTAGCCTGGGCAACAGAGCGAGACTCTGTCTCAAAAAAAAAAAAAAGGGCTGGGCCTGGTGGCTCATGCTTGTAATCCCAGCACTTTCGGAGGCTAAGGTAGGCAGATCACCTGTGGTCAGGAGTCTGGGACAAGCCTGGTCAACATGGCAAAACCCTGTCTCTACCAAAAATACAAAAATTAGCCAGATATGGTAGCACGCACTTGTAATCTCAGCTACACAGGAGGCTGAAGCATAAAAATAGCTTGAACCCAGGAGGCAGAGGTTGAAGTGAGCTGAGATCATGCCACTGCCCTCCAGCCTAGGCGACAAAGTGAGACTCTGTCTCAAAAAAAAAAAATCTATCGTTTATAAGTTACCCAGTTTATGGCATTCTGTTATAGAAGCTCAAATGGACTAAGACACTAAATGGCATGATTCAGCTATTTTGACTCATAGTACAGATGCTGAAATTCAAATATGGTTCACATGTAAGCATAGTAGGGGATGTGAGAAAAAGTCTTTATAGTTATATTTCATTTTATCATAGGCTATCAATGTAGCAAGAGCCTTCAACAATCAGCTGGTCCATCCTCTCACTTTAAGATACAGAACTTGAGGCTCAGAGCCATTAAGTGACTAAAATTTAGTCTTCACAGATGTAATATCACGTTCTTTCCACCACACAGGTACATCCCAAAGTGTAGTATACATCTCTCTAGTGGGACTAGAGTTGGATTTGATGTGATATAACAACCTACATTCTTAATTGTAACACATATATACTAGTGTATACATATATATGTATATATTAATATATACATATATCATTTCCCAATTAATATACATATATTAATTCTCTAAACTTAACCCTGTGTATATGTATATACATGTATTAATATAACATATATACATATATATGTTAGTGTATATGTTATAATTAATCTATATATAATTTAATTTACATATAACTATACATTTTATATATATATATATTTGCATGCTTTGAAAAAGATGTAACTAGAACATCAAACCCATGACTTCAAAGATGTTGTTGCTTAGAATAATAGGTATCTTTTATTTTTTGTTTTAAATAAGTCAATCTAGGGGAAAACGATAGGCAAATAATAGCACGGGTTGTACATGGGCTTAACAAACTGACGAGGGTCAGAGGTGAATGACTGTGTCTGCGAAGCATTGCTGCACACAGGGGGTTGGCAAACGATGGCCCAATGGGTTCACCATCTGTTTTTGTATAGCCCACAAGCTAAGAATGTTTTTATATTTTTAAATGGTAAGAAAAAAATCAAAAGAAGAATAATATTTAATGGCACACAAAAATCAGGCTGGGCATGGTGGCTCACGCCTGTAATCCAAGCACTTTGGAGGCCAAGGTGGGTGGATCACCTGACGTAAGGAGTTCAAAAATTAAATGAAATTCAAATTTCAGTTTGTGAAATGTTTAACTGGAACATAACCATGACCATTTGTTTCCATATTGTCTCTGGCTGCCTTTGCTCTACAACAGCAGTGTTGAGTAGCTACAACAGATACTGTATGGCCTGCAAAGTCCAAAATAGTTACTTTCTGGCTCCATATCATGCTGCCTCCTTCAGTAAGTTAAATCTCTGCATCAGACTACTCCCTTGAAAATGTACAGATTTATTAATGAATTCACTTAAATTGCTTTAATAGAATGATCCTTTGCTGTGTGAACTGTAGGTTTGGGCTTCAGTTTCACTATCTATTAAAATGAAGAGGGTTGGGTTAGATTATCTCTAAGATCATTATGGAAAGGTCCTTTATTGTTCATAAATGTAAAATCACGCAAGGCATTTTAATTGAAATATTTGAAATTTTAGACATAACCAAAGAGTGGAAATAGCAGGAAAAGGAGGAAGATGTAGAAAAAAAAAAAAAATACACTGAGCAAAGGGTTGTTTTTTCCAGAAGCTGAATTTTCTAAAGGACATGCTGTTTCTAGCAACATTAAAAACTGTAAGGAAAGTATCTCCTACCTCCACTAGACCTTGCAGAATTCTGACACACATGACGAATCCGTAATGTACTCTGGCCGCAGAAGGAATGCACATGTTCAGAGTTGATGTTAAGAAGATGGCAGCTCCAAAGACCCTGAAGGATCAAAGCACTGTGTTATTAGGCAGGCCAGGGCTGGATGTGGTACTTCAGCTAAGCACCAGAAACAAACCTAACAGTTGATGAGAGATCCCTGTGGAAATTAATTTGGAGAGATTGATGTGTTAGGGTCTAGTGTGCCCCAAGCTACACTCCTGGGCTTCTTTGATTCCCAAGCTCTGGCCCCTGGACCAGTTATGAACAAATTTTTGGTAGCACAGGGATGTCCTGCCTGGATGATGTCCTGAAAAGTTGGAGATTGGCCAGGTGCAGGTCAGCTTGCTAGAGACTGACCTTTTCTGACTGTTACTGCATGACTCCTGCATGCTTGAGGTTGTGTTTCCTCCTTCCTAGAGCTACTCTCAGTTTACCAGAAGGAAACCCTGACTATCCAAGAAGCATCTCATGTCCTGGGACCAGCCAACCACAAGACAGATTGTGTACCTGTCTTAGCTCCCATTCCCTGCCCAACCCAGGGTGCCCTGGGAAAAAAGATCAGGCAGCCATTTTCTTCCCCTCTTACACAGGTTAATGATGTTTCCACTCTTTTTATGTGCTGGGAAATTAAATTATGTGTGATTTTTTTTCAGGGCAGAGGTGTAAGCAGTAACCAAGGAAACCATAGCAACCAGTACTTTATCACTTTTTAAAAACAATACAATAGGTAACTAACAACAAATGAAAGACATAAATTAGACAAGAACCTAAATAAATACATGCTTATACATATTTAGATCTTATGGTAGTGGCTTCCAATTTTTTTTTTACCTTAACCCATAAACAAAATATATTTTATATTGCAGCCCAGTCCATACTCATACATACAAATATAACTAAAACAAGTCTCAAAAACTAGTATTTACCCTTATGTGCAATGCACTCAGATATTTTCTATTCTACTTTATTCTATTTGATTATCTTTTCTTCTGTTTCTCTCTCTCTTTTTTAAAAATGCTCATTGGTAAATCATATTTTTTTCACAACTATGTAATGAGTTGTGCTTTAGAATTTAAAAAACACCGTTTTCTAAAATGGAATGCACTTCATGAAATCCATTTATGGAAAGTCATATGGGAAACACAATTAGAAAGAACCTGGAGAGATTTAGTTCACTCCTTTCCAGTACATGATGCACTCTACAACATCTCCCCCAAGTGGCCATCCTCCTCTGCTTGAATACCTCTGGTGACAGAGAACTCACTGCTCCTTGAGACAGCTCACTCTGTTCTTAGACACTTTTAATTGCTCAAACACTCACTACAGAGTCTCAAGGGCATTAGTGGATCATTTGAGGTTGGGAGTTTGAGACCAGCCTGACCAACATGGTGAAACTCCGTCTCTACTAAAAATACAAAAAGTAGCTGGGTGTAGTGGTGCGTGCCTGTAATCCCAACTGTTCAGGAGGCTGAGGTATGAGAATCACTTGAATGTGGCATAGGGTCGGGGAGGAGTGAGGCAGAGGTTGCAGTGAGCCAAGATCACACCACTGCACTCCAGCCTGGGTGACAGAGTGAGACACTGTCTCAAAAATAAAAATAAATTAAGAGCAGGATCATTTGGGATCAGTATTTGTGAACTGCATCTATCCAGATGGCTCTTATTTTTCATTCTGCACCCCCAAATTGAGAGCCAGCTATGCAGAATTTATAAAGGTACAAAGCCATATTTTTTTCGTTTGTATCATGTTATATCAATTTGTCTTACCTGTTAGCAGCAAACTTGTTTGAAATGAAACCACCTGGAATTTGTGTCATAATATAACCCCAGAAAAAAGATCCATGGATAAGGCCCACTGTTTCTGGATCCCAGTTAAACTGTGCTGTCTGGAAATGAGAAATCAGATATAGTTGTGTTTGTTAGAAAAAATCTGACAAGCATTTTTCACCAATGAGCCTATACAATAATAACCTCATGAGGTCTTTCTTTTTTCATTGGTTCAACACATATCTATGAAGGGCATCTTACATACTTGGGCAGCAAGCAAAAGTCTGGGACCAGGCGTGGTGGTGTGCACCTCTAGTCTCAGTTATTTAGGAGGCTGAGGTGGGAGGATGGCTTGAGACCAGAAGGTCAAGGCTGCAGTGAGCCAAGACAGTGCCACTGCACTCCAGCCTGGGCAACAGAGTGAAATCCCATCTGAAAAAGCAAAACTAAAACACAACAAAGTCCCTGCTCTCATAGATTTTACCTTCTAATAAGAAAGAGATTATATACAAATTTAAACATATATTTATATTAATGGATATGGTGACTCACACCTGTAATTCCAATGCTTTGGGAGGCCTAGGCAGGAGAGTTATTTGAGGCCAGGCACTAAAGACCAGCCTGGGCAACATAGCAAGACCCCATCTCTACAAAAAAATTAAAAATCTAGCCAGCTAGGCAGGGTGCAGTGGCTCATGCCTATAATCCCAGCACTTTGGGAGGTCGGGGCAGGTGGATCACCTCAGGTCAAGAGTTCAAGACCAGCCTGGCCAACATGGTGAAACCCCCATCTCTACCAAAAATACAAAAATCACCTGGATGCTGTGCCAGGCGTTTGTAATCCCAGCTACTCAGGAGGCCGAGGTAGTAGAATTGCTTGAACCCAAGAGGCAGAGGTTGTAGTGAGCCGAGGTCATGCCACTGCACTCCAGCCTGGGTGACAGATCAAGACCGCATCTCAATAATTATAATAATAATCACCATCATCATCATCATCTAGCCAGGTGTGGTGGTGTGTGCCTTTAGTCCTAGCTACTCAGAAGGCTGAAGTAGGAAGATCCCTGGAGTCCAGGAATTGGTCAAGGTTAAAATGAGCTACAAACACGTCACTGCACTCCAGTGTGAGTGACAGAGCAAAAGCCTGTCTCTAAAAATACCTATATCTAATGCGTGTGTGTATATATACACACACTCTGCACATCAGGCAGGGCCTGTCCTGCGGCCTCAGAGAGAATGACATAAAGACTCCCTTCTCTCCTCAGGGTGGAGGACAGCCTGGGTTTCAGCCCCACCTCAGGCTGGCTTCTCTGTCCTGAGCGCAGACTGCACAAACACGCCACAGACCTACTTTCTGCTTTCTGCTTTCTGCCCTTGGCTTTCACAGATCTCCTTATAGCCCTACAATAATCCCCACCACCTTTTACCACCTGTTTTGTTTTGAGACAGAGTCTCACTCTGTCCCCCAGATTGGAGTGCAGTGGCACCATCTCAGCTCACTATAACCTGCAGCTCCCAGGTTCAAGAGATTCTCCTGCCTCAGCCTCCCAAGCAGCTGGGGTTACAGTTGTGTGCCACCACGTCGGGCTAATTTTTTTTTTTTGTATTTTTTTAGTAGAGATGGGGTTTCACTATGCTGGCCAGGCTAGTCTAAACCTCCTGACCTCAGGTGATCCACCTTTCTCAGCCTCCCAAACTGCTGGGATTACAGACGTGAGCCACTGCGCCCGGCCCAAATAATCCCCTTTTAACTTGAGCCAGCTTTGCTGCACTTCTCTTCTTTGCAAGGAGCAATTCCTGACCAGGACACAAGGGCATCTTATTCAAGGTCCCAGAGCTCATTAAAACCAGATCTGGCCAGTTCCAAAGCCCATCCTCTGAATCCTACAGCACCCGTGATCCATGAGAATGACTTTGAACTTTTCCTGAGAATAATGAGAAAACAAAACCACAAGTTTCCCAAACTTCAGTCATTTTTTTTCTTACTATATGCCAAACACTTTCCTAAGACTTAACATGTTTTAACTCATAACTATTAGAACTAAAAATATGGGCCAGACACAGTGGTGCATGCTTGTAATCCCAGCACTTTGGGAGGCCAAAGCAGGAGGATCCCTTGAAGCCAGGAATTTGAGATCAGCCTGGGCAACATGGCACGACCCCATCTCTACAAAAAAAAATTTTTCTAATTAGCTAGGAATGGTGGGGTGAGCCTGTATACCCAGCTACTTGGAAGCTGAAGTGGGAGAATCACTTAAGCCCAGGAGGTCAAGGCTCCAGTGAACTATGATCACTCCACCTCACTGAAGCCCAGGCAACAGAGACCCCGTTTCAAAACAAACAAACAAAAAGATCATTCATGCATTAATTAAAATCAACCTCCATTCCACTTGTAGAACATATGTCACATATTTGAAGGATCTACCTATTCATACTGCTTATTTCTCCCCTTCTCTTGAAATAAAGATTTAAAGATATCTCAGTGTCAGATATCTAGTTTTCCCCTTAAAACAGAAAAAGCAAACAAACGTACCATCCATTCAGAGCCTTCCTTTTTCTTCTTCTTCTTCCTTTTTTTTTTTTTTTTTTGAGACAAAGTCTCACTCTGTTACCCAGGCTGGAGTGCAGTGGCACGATCTTGGCTCACTACAACTTCTGCCTCCCGGGTTCAAGTGATTCTCTTGCCTCAGCCTCCTGAGTAGAGGTGATGACAGGCACACACCACCACATCTGGATAATTTTTTTTTTTTTGTATTTTTAGTAGAGACGGGTTTCACCATGTTGGTCAGGCTGGTCTCAAACTCCTGATCTTGTGATCCGCCCGCCTCGGCCTCCCAAAGTGCTAGGATTACAGGCATGAGCCATTGCACTCAGTCCAGAGCCTTTCTTAATACAATTAGCAAAGTCTCTGTCATCTGTTTGAACATGCTCAGTTGATATCTAAGCTTTGTTCTATGTGGACAAGAGAGAAATAATCTGCTATAAATTGGAGTTGTGCTAGAGTTTCTGATACTAAATTCCTACTCCTGAGTCCAGAGGAAAAAAAGTTAAACCATATTTCAGATTTTAATCAGTTTCTCTAAGACTCCAGAGGGCACAGCCATAGAAACTAGAGAGTGCACACTAGCATTGTTCCTTGGGTTTATCAAAATGTCTTTTCCATATGCTTCAAAGCAGACTCTATTGACCGAGGTCTATCTTTTCAGGCAACAAACAAATGCAAAACAGCATCTCATTTTGATCTGGGCCTCAGCAGACAAGTTTTAATTAGCTGGCCTTGCTCACAAAAGGCTGAGAGAATGCATGTGATACACATCTGAAACCTTGCTAATATACATCATTCTTTATTTTTAAAATGCATGATATGCCCTTCTACCTCTATCCCCCACACCCCATAAAAGACAGGATATCCTTTTAGCACAGATCTGGCTGTGGCATCACAAAGAAACTAGTTAGGAGGATCTCCATGGTGCTATTTTCCTCTGGCAGAATATCTTCTTTTAAAAAAAAGCAGAGACAAATAGCTTGCAGACCAACTAAAGACCTCTTTTTGACAGATTGAAATCAAATTTTCTCAAACCAGTGCCTGGCAGGAGACTGTGCCAGATGCTGCTAATAGATGTGGCATGAAAGAAGGCATTCTGTGATCAAGTGAGTCCAAGAAATCCTGCCTACCACGCCTCCCTCTTGGAAAGTGTCATAGGACACAGCACAGTATGGGCTTCATGTCTTGCACTGCCTTCTTCATGGCACAGCCTGCAGAGCAGTGATTTCCCAGACACCAGTTCAGAAAACTGTGATCTAAACGTTTCTTCAAATGGAGGGACCAGAGAACTGTTAAATGCCTCTCTGCAAATGAATGGATTTCTGCATGAGTTATTGCAGTGTGTGTGTGCTTAGTACGATGAAACATGCATTTATGGGGTGTCCACTGGGCAGATATTTTTGCTTGTTTTCCCTATAACCTCGGTACTTCTCTAGGTCTATCATGTAAGCAGCAAACCAGATTTTATGTTTGCAGTGATTTAAGTCACTTCAAAGTATCCGTGCTTATAACAATGACAGCCTCTGGACTGGCCCTGTGGCCTCCGTTCCTATCTCACTTCAATCTGGCCCTCCCCCATGGGGCAGTGACCAATCTGGAGCACGGATGTGATCACCCTGTGCTTGTAGCCCCTTGCTACATGCCTATCAGGCCTGAGATGATCAGCACCCTATTTACTTCACTGCCTCCACCTCAAGGAGCTCTACTCAGTCACAGGGAGTTCTCAACCTGGAGTCTGCGGTTGGAATCCTGTGGATCTGAGAACTTAGATGGGAAAAAAACATGAATCTTTATTTTCGCTCTTAACCAAAATGTAGCATTTCTGCCATTATGAATGTAGGCAACAAGCCACAGTCGTATGACTAGTACCTATGACTGTCCCAGGTGGAAATCGTAAATATGTTAAAATCGTATTACAGTCATGGCCACTATTTCCAACAATGGCTTACGTTCCAACTTCAAATCACAGTAAATGTTAGACCCAATGCTAGGTTTTTGTCACTGATGTGCTAATAAAGAAACCCATATGTTTCTATGTCACAAATGTAATTTTTAAACCTTTTGGTATTTATATTTTAATGTTATTTGCTTCCTTTGTCATCCTTTGTGCTTTAAGAAATTAAAACATTACTTTGGCAAAGCTTCATCAGTCATTACCTGGAGTCCATGACACAGAAAAGATGATGAGCTCCTGTTTCAGTTCCTAAAATATACCTAGATGGCATGTGTGCATTCTCTCTCTCTGTCATTCAGGCTGGTGTGCACTGGTGCAATCTCGGCTCACTGCAACCTCTGCTTCCCAGGTTCAAGCGATTTTCCTGCCTCAGCCTCCTGAGTAATTCGGATTACAGGTGTGCGCCACCATGCCCAGCTAATTTTTGTATTTTCAGTAGAGACAGGGTTTCACCGTGTTGACCTGGATGGTCTCAATCTCTTGACCTCGTGATCCGCCTTCCTTGGCCTCCCAAAGTGCTGGGATTACAGGCGTGAGCCACTGAGCCAGGCCATCTCTATCTCTTTCTTACAGTCCTTTGCAGTCATTTTTTCTTCAAACATTCTTCTTCCCATCCCACCACATCCTCTTTGTCTGGTCCAGCCATCACTTTGGGAATTTGTTCACAATATCAAAACCTGGGTTGGAGCCTCTCCTATGAGCCTGAGCACCCTGTGTACCTCCAACACAGCACCTACCGCCCCAAACTGTCATCACTTACTTGTCTGCATGAAGACAGAGCCCAGTCTAGGTCATTCACCTTTCTATCCCCATCACTTTGCACAGTGCCCAGCACAAGTAGCCACTCTCCATTTTTGTCACATCACTGAAGGAATTGCAAGGCTTTCTCTCAAGGAGCAAAGTATTGACACAGCTGCAGTCAAAAAAAGTTCCCTTATGACTGTAGTCTTAGCTACTGATCTGAGATGCTGAGATGGGAGGATCATTTTGACGAGGCAGGTCAGGGCTACAGTGAGCCAAGATCATGCCACTATACTCTAGCCTGGGAGACAGAGTGAGACCCTGTCTCAAAAAGAAAAGGCTGCCATCATGGATTGATACCAACCTGAATTTCCGGTTTTCCATCAACGTATACGGTGCTGTTGTTGACCATTTCCACAATGGCAACTCCAAGATTGCACCGGATCCCAAAGGAAATGCAGAATCCCAGCCCACTCATGATAGCAATGATGTAACGCTTGGGGAGGCCGCAGCAGTGGCAGTCGCAGAGTGGGGGGCTCAGCCTGGACGTCAGCACTGGCCTTCCTTCTTCATTCAGCTCGATGTTATCTTCTTCCTCAGTGGTCCCATCGATTTTCCTACATGGGAAAAAGAATAGGCAGAAAATAAAAGGGGAAAAGAATAGGCAGAAAAAAGAAAGTATATTAAGCAAAAAGAAAAAAGGTATTAGCAGATGAAAAACAAAAAGGAAGGACCATAGTAGAATACTATGGATTTACTATTACTATTATTAAAGCAAGTTATTATTAAATATTACTATTATTATTAAAATAAGTTATAGTGGCTAAAACTACTGATGTTCTGGGTATTGTGTGGGACTTTTATAAGCATTAAATCAGTCATTTGAATCTTACAACAACCCCATGAGGTAGATGATGTCATCATGCCATTTTTTAGGTGAGGAAATTAAGTCATTGAGATAGGATAGAAGCCCAAGGCCAGAGTCTATGTCTAAAACCATCTGTCATGCTGAATGTCCTGCTGAGAGCGTATCGACAAACTTCGTTCACACTGCACGACCCAGCTGTTCCAGTTGACTTTAACTTTTCTAAGTCTTAATAAAATACTAAGTTTGGAGGTAGAGAGGTACATTTCCTATCACAATGCACGCCCAATTGGTTGTGTATCTTTTTCTTCTTAGATGGTTTCTCTAAGAAGGTGGTCCTCCAGCACCTTTTATTTCAAATCGTAGAATTTTTCATGGCCTCTGTAGACTGCAATTGTGGCACATTTGTTACAGTGAATTTATTTCCTCTTCTAAAAGAAGGAATTTGGCAAACTGAACCCTGTCTGTCAATTATATAGGAAGTTGTATCCTCTTACTTATTGTGATCTTTCTGAGGATGCTGCCATGGCCCACTTAAGGTCCAAGTCTTTTTAAAAATGATCAAAGCTTGCAAGTTTTCATCAATATTAAATTCAGTAATAAATAGCTGAAGTAATGGCTAATCCAATAGTTTGGATGAAACACAAGTCATTTGCCCACCAGTCCATATGAAAGATAATCTTGGCATGTTCTTATGACTCAAGGGAAATCCAATTTCCAGCACAAGTGTAGAGAAACAAATATACTGGATTCAATGTGACATGTTCTCTGCCTTCTTCCAGCTCTCAGGCTGGTGGGAAAGAAAGATACATATACAAGCAGTTATAATTACTGGACAATGTGGGTTTTGTTGAAATCAAAGTGAAAAGCAATGGTGAAACACTGGAAGGAGCTTAGAATTTCAACTTCTGAGCTCAGAGTAGAAGCTTAGTAAGTGTGCCATAACATTAAAGTAATCGGAAAAGAACTCTAACCATTTTCCTACTGATGTACCTACCTACCAGCCGGCCTGCACTTAAACTGATGGAGTCTATCTTTTAATCTGCAGTTGTCCATGCTTCTAACTAAGGTCAGTCTCTCTTCCTGGACACTAGATCTCATCCCCTTGCATCCACTCATGAATATTGCTCCAGAAATTCCAACCCCCATACATCCAGCCATTATGTTCTCCTCCCCAGTATAATAGATCATTCCTGTTGCCAATAAATAAGCTTTTATTCCTCTCATATTAGAATCTAAAATAAAAGATACTTTCTCTTTCAGTTATCCTCTTATTTCCCTCTTTCCTTTTTTAAGAAAAACTCTGAAATGACTGTCTTCAATTCCTCTCCTTCTGTTCTCTCCTGGACTCACTCCAGCCAGGTCTTCCCAACCTATCCTTTCAAAACTGTTCATCTTAAGGCTATCAATGCCCTCCTCATGGCTCAGTCTAAAGGTCATTTTCAGTCCTCATCTGATTTAATCAACCTAGCAGCAGCATTTGACACAACTGACCACTTTCTCTTCCTTGGCCATTTTATTTTCTTCCAGGAAAACTCTTGATCATCCTCCTAATTCTTCTGTTTGGTCTCTTATGCCTATTCCTTCTTTCCTTGACCTATATAAACTAGGATGCCTAGGACTCTGTTCTCAGGTTTCTTGCTTTCTGTCTATGCCCTTTAGGTCATCTAAGCCAGGCTCTGGGCTTTAGGTATCATGTATATGCTAACAGCTCCCAATTTTTATATCTAGACTTATTTGTCATCTCCTTGGACACCTGAAAGTCATCTTAAACTTGACATGTCCAAACTGACTTTCCCTAAAAAAAAATTAATCTCTGAAGTCATTCCCATCACAAGTAATGACAATTTTGCTACTTTGGTTGCTCCAGCAAAAATCGTGAAACCATCCTGGATGCCTCTCTTCTTCTCCAATCTATGTCCAGCTGAGGAGCCTGTGTACCTTACTTTGAATGTTGAGTGTCCCACTTACTCAGATGTGTGACTTTAGCCTAATTACTTAACCTCCCTGGACTTCAGTTTCTTCGTCTGTAAGCTAGGAATTATAGTAATAGTTTCTTCTTCACAGGGTTGTTCTTAGGATTGTCATAAATGAGTTATTAAACTTAGGTAATTTAGAAGAGAACTTGCCACATAATAAAAACACAACGTATGTCAGCTATTTTTATTACATTAATCCTCACTCTCACTTAATGAGCCCATGATGCCAGTAAGTGTTGATGACATTAGTTCTGAGAGGCGGTTGGATGATAGGACTTTATAATGGTCTACCCTCATAGTCTCCATAAATTTTCTGGCAACCAAATATGTATAACTTAAGTCGGATGGAAAACTGATGCTCTAGGCCAGGCATCGTGGCTCACGCCTATAATCCCAGCACTTTGAGAGGCTGAGGCAAACAGATCCACTGAGGTCAGGAATTCGAAATCAGCTTGACCAACATAGCAAACCCTGTCTCTACTAAAAATGCAAAAATTAGCCAGGCGTGGTGCAGTGTAGTCCCAGCTGCTTAAGAGGCTGAGGCATGAGAATCACTTTAACCTGGGAGGCAAAGGTTACAGTGAGCTGAGATCGTACCACTGCACTCTAGCCTGGACAACATAGTGAGATTCCATCTCAAAAAAAGAAAAAAGAAAGAAGAAAGAAAATTGATGCTCTAATATTGACATGTTACTATAATATTATATTCCTAGCAGCCAAAACAAGGATAATATGTAACAACCACAGTAACACTTGTATAAGGCAAATTCAGTTCTCTCCCTCTGCTCTCCTCTCTATAGATGCTTTCATGTAATTCTCTTATTTGATCATTAATACAGCTCAGTGAGACATGGGTAATCTAATACTCCCATTTGACACAAAATACAACTGTTGTTCAGAAAGCAAGAACAAATTGACCAAGACCGCACAGCCACTAGTGGGTAGAGGCAAGATATGAAACCCTTCTCCTTTGCAGTCTAGGTCTCCTGGGCCCCTTTCCTGTGTGTTCCCAGCCCACCAGGCCATGCTCCTTCTCAGTGATCTCCCTGAGTCACTTTGTCATCTGTACCTGTTACTTTGTAGCCCTTGCTCAGCCATCATGACCCAGAAGAGCAGGGTAAGAGAATGGGCTCTGGGTTGAGAGATGCCCAGTGCTGTCTCTCTCAGGTAGTAGCTCTGTGACTACTTAACCTATTAGTCTTCCAGGGATGCTATAACAAAGTGCCACAAACTAGCTGGCTTAAACAACAGAAATTTATTTTTCTACAATTCTAGAGCCAGAAATCTGAGATCAGGTTTCAGCAGGCCTTGGTTTCTTCCAAGGCCTTTCTTTTTGGCTTTCAGATGGCTGTCTCTCTCTGTGGCTTCACATAGTCTTCCTTCTATGAATCTCTGTGTCCAAATTTTTTCTTCCTATAAGGACATCAGTCATATTCTATCAGGGCCCACCCTACAGACCTATTTAATATTAATTACGTTTTTAAAGACCCTATCTCCAAACAGAGTCATATTCTGAGGTACTGAGTGTTAGAATTTCACCACAATGAATGAGGGCGGATTCATATGAAGACACAATTCAGCCCATAAGAATCCCTATCTCTAAACTGGGGTAATCATAATGGGTATCTCAGAGGGTTATTCAATGATTGATGCATATAAATGATTCAGTTCAGTGCCTGATACATAAAAAGTGCTTTAGAGTAATAAGTGGTAAGTACTATCTATCACTATTGCTATTAATAAAGTGTCACCAGTCATAAGCTTAGCCCTCTCTATATACATGCAGATGCTTTAGATGAAGGCTAATGGAAACTGAAAGCGCTGTGGGGCTTTGCAGTGCTTAATTGCAGACAGCCCCAGCTGCTGTGCTCTGAATCAACCACCTCTTTGGCGTGGGGACAGCGCTACTTTCTCACAGGCTGCTATTCTGCCAAGAACTGAGCACCCCAGGGATGAGAGGCTGTTCTTTCCTGCCAGAGGCAGGACACCTCTGACAGTGACTGGCTCCAGGACTGCTCTTTGGCCATGCCAAAATTTCCCAGTACTGTAGTGTAGTCTGCAAGTCTTCCCACCTAACTTTTCTTCCTTCCTTCTCTCCTACACAGGTAGCAGTATGAACACTCTCCCAGCCTCATCCAGCTGCTTCCCCATTTCCCCTCAAGAAATCTCTTGGCCGGGTGTGGACTCATGACTGTAATTCAAATACTTTGGGAGGCTGAGGCAGGAAGATCACTTGAGCTCAAGAGTTTGAGGCTGTAGTGAGCCATGATTGCGCCACTACACTCCAGCCTGGAAAACAGAGCAAGACCATGTCTCGTATGTGCCAAGTCCTGTCTTGGAATCTGCTTTCTTGGAAGACCTGAACCAATACAAGCACCGTCTGTGTGCACATTGCCATCTTAGACATCCTGAAGCTTTCCAGAGGGAAATACATACAGTATGGGAGATGGGGAAAAAAGGGGGAAAGTAATGATTAAAGGGAAATCCTAAAAGAAGGAGTCGTGAGCTCCCCAAGAAGCAGGACCTATAGCTGGCTGACCTGAAGCCAGCCCCTTTAGCAGCTCTCCAGTTGGAGATGGGATATCGGAAGCTGAGGGGAGAGGTCCGGGCACAAAATCTCAGTTTCTTTTGCCCAAAGTGGCAGCTGAGCCACCACTCAAGGGGTCATGGCTCGGGAGCAAATGAGGATCAACAACTAGCAGGACCTCCTGAGTTGTTTGTGAGTCCTTTGCACAACCTTGCTGTGGCAAAAGGGGAGCATCAAAATGAAAGG